ATCTTCTGACCTCTCAACTGAATCAGTATGTGGGGCAGTTTTCTGAACTACAGCATTTCCTGCCCATTTTTAGCAGCTTCCTGAAGGAAAGGACCGCAGATCCAGGCAGTGTGGTGAATGGTAAAGGTGTGAGAATTCACAGGGTCCCTTTTATGTTCACAGTGACTGGCAAAAAATGAAGCTACTGAAGGCCAAACTACATATTACATTTTACACAGAACTTGGACTAGTTACTTTGGAGGTGTTATAAATCCCAGAAGGTGTCAGCCAACGTGGTAAATGACCATACTGATTCATATACTGTATTGTGGACGGTGCGGTTACAAAAAGTAACTTTTCCAAGCTCTGACTAAATGTGTAGTTTACACCCGACCTTTTCTTTCTAAAGGACAGCAGACACCCTACCCTGAGGCAGATTGTCACTAGAGCAGGCTGGTGAAGGCCCTTGTGCTACATACAGGCCTGACAAAAATGACAACCCTAAGCTGTTTGTCCTGCAAGAGAAGCACCTGTGTCGCGCCCCCCCCCGCCCAACCCTCATCTTAGTAGGGCTGGAGACTGCATTAGTATATCAGGGAAAGGTTTTAATTCTACTTCCCATCTCTATCTTCCCTTCCCCACAGAGTTCAAATTATGTAGCCATTGGTTTGATTTTTAGAAAAACATATTTAAAAAAATTTAATTTAACTTTAAGAAGATGTAAAATTATCCCATGCCACAAGTGTGGTATTCCCACTTTGAATTATCTTGTACTTCATGGGAAAGTAGGCACACATGGCATGTGTTTTGCTGTAGTTGTTGAGTTTTGCTTAAATTGGTTTCACATTTTTTTTTAAAAAAAAGCTATTAGTTGTATATTTGTTAAGTCTGTTTATTTACTACTGTTTTAATATTGTAGTTTATAGGAGTTTTTAACCATATTCTTTTTTAAACATGCTGTAAACTTCCTAGAGTACTCCAAGTGAGAAAAGCAAAAAAGAAGGAAGGATCAGGGAGTGGTTCATTGTAACGTTAGAAGAATGTGGCAAAGGTTCAAGGGCAGCTGGGATTATTTTTTCTATGCATCAGGAAGGTTCATGATGAGTTGTGATACCCCACCCTTTGCCTTGCTGCAAATGGCACAATGCTATAGACCTAGTGTATGCAGCTAGCGGCCTCATGTAGATGTATCCCCCTCCCCAGTAATCTCTCCCCAACCCTTCCCCTTATTCTTGACTTTTTGTTACACCAGTGTTGCACAAGCACTACACACATACAAATATTTTTGCACTCAGCTAGTGATCGTAGCACTAATTGGGAATGGATAGACATATGTGAGTCTTTAACACCACACAAAATTTCTCCCCCTCCAGTGCTGCTTGCCCTGAGATTTGCCTCTTCGTACAGAGATACGGAAGAATATAGCAATTCTCTGGGACTTCAGGCAGCATTCAGATCTGGCAACCCAAGCATTAACATGTTCCCTTCTTAGCTTGAATATCTCCAACTTCACCTCTGTCTTTCACCTCACCAGGTTATTTAATTCATTGATCCTACACCACCCAAGGGATTAGTACAAAGCATCTCATGAGGGAAAGCATTAGAACCCTTTAAAGAGAAAACAATATTTGAACCAGTTTCTCTGAGGTTGCTGCTTTTTAAATTAGTTTCAGAACAGAGAGATATAATGGGGTGAGGAAGCTTTAGCCATTCCAGGAAGCCCTAGCCAGTGTGGTCAATGGTAATGGATAAGTGAAATTGCATTCCCTGGGATTATAGGAACTGCTATTTTTTAAAAGTTGTCCATCATATCATTCTGGACTCACAAATAGACTACAAAGCAGCAATCATACAATATTTTTTGGCTGCAACCACATTTCATAGATCAATATTCCATTAAGTTTAAAAAGCCATATTTAGCTGGTAGCCAACTTAGTCATACCTTATATTAGTGAACTGCATACATTAATTATGTATTGTGTTGAAACAACAAGATGTTTTTCAGCACCTTAAACCCTTGACAAATATATTATAGTACAAGTTTTCATCAGAAGCATTTGATAAAGTGGATTCTAGTTGAGGAAATAAATAGAATTGTAAGATCTTTAAGGTACCGGGAGACTCCTTGTATTCTCTGTGATAAATTACGGTAATGTAACAATCTCTCCATAATTTGTATGTAAAAATGCATTTACTCCTCCTTGTTTTCTTAAGACATTTTATAAACTCCTTTCAAGTTTACCAACATACTCTTCATCATAAAATACAAGGGGTGTGTGTGTGTGTGTGTGTGTTTTAAATCAAACAAGCTTCTTTTCTCCTGCATCAGAGATTCCTGGTCTAATCTATTGGCATTTTATGCTTATATTGTGAAAATTAACCTGAGAAATGCTTCCAAAGATGCTCAGATTTCATATGAGTAATCAAGGAAAACCACTCTATATGTGAAGGGCACTGAAGAAGAAAACCTTTGATACTATTACCAATGGGAGAAATACTGCCAAGTAGTACAGTAACTTTAGGACCATTGCTTTAATTTCCCATGCAAGCAAAATGATGCTCATGATGTTACAACAAAGACTTTTAGCTCATGTAGAATGAGAACAGGTTCATGTTTAAACTGTATTCTGAAAAGGAAAAGGCACTCTAGATCACATTGCAAATATCCAATGACTATTGGACCAAACCAAAGAATTTCAAAAGATTGGTCTATACTTTATAAACTACACAAAAGCCATCAGTCATCAGTCCGAATGAAAACTCTAGGCAAGAAATCAGAAGAAGGCTGAAAACCAAGATGATTCACACTACTGTAATTCCTGTTTACTGTGTACAAATGTCAAAGCTGGACAGTGGAGAAAAGTGACAGGAATGTGTCGCTGGAGACTAAAACCAAGATGATTCACACTACTGTAAGTCCTGTTTACTGTGTACAAATGTGAAAGCTGGACAGTGGAGAAAAGTGACAGGAAGAAATTGATTGATTTGAAATGTGGTGCTGAATCAGAGGTTTGTTCATACTCTGGACTGCTGGAAAGAGAAATAAATCGGTCCTAGGACAAGTAAAACCTGAATTATCTCTGGAGGCAAAAATTATGAAACTAAGGTTGTCCTATTTTAGGCACATCATGAGAAGGCAGCAGTCTCTGAAAAGACAATAATGCTGAGAAAGGTGGAAGGTAGCAGGAGCACAGGAAGACCAAAAGAGAGATGGATTGACTCCCTAAAGGAAATCATGGGCTTGATTTTCCAAGAGCTGAACAGGACAGTTGAGGAAAGGACATTTGGAGAGCACTCGTTCATAGAGCAAGTAACATTTCTAAGCTCCTTTCTAGAGCAGTTTGCTTTGTGCAAAATTTAAGCTGCAATTTGTACCTCTAAATAT